AGTCTATTGTCATCGGTGATTTGTAAAAATTGACCTTCGCGTGCACCAAAGTCACTTTCGGTCAAAGCGATTCGAACAACGATCAGAAAATCAAGAATGGTGTTGTAACAGCCAGGGGGTATGTACACCATATCGATCGAGTTCCCTTTCTTGATACTTATGATGTTTTCACCCTCCATGACTTGTGCTATCGTGTTAGGGTAGTGCAGCTCAATAAGAGCTGCCTGCCAATGACCGTGCAGTTCCATGCGTTGGTCGAGTTGTGTTTTAAAATGGGATGTGGTGTTGTCCGGATAAATTTTCGGACTAGCATTACTCGGAAGAAAAGTATAAAAATCCATTATACGAGATCTGAATCCAAAATCCAGGAGCGACTTTTTTCAGATAACCTCTCCAGTGAACGAAGTGCTGACGATTGCCGTCTTTACCTTTGGAGCGTACTATATATGCGATTTTGAACGCCTCAGGCTTGGTGACCTTCTGAAGCTCTGCCTCGTAAAACGTGCCTTCAATCGGATCCGGATCGGATCGAGGTCCTCCAGGCGATACACCGGCACCGTATGAGGAATGACCTGAACGATTTGAAATATCTCCTCGGACCAGTTCCACGTGTACCCTTTTTCGAACGTTTGTTTTTCTCTACTGATTCGCACATGATCACCAACTTTGAACTTGGTTTTCCTATTAGTGGGGTTAAGTCCGTGGTACAGGTTATTATATACCTCTAGGACACGCTCAGGTGTAACGTCCACCGGTCTCATTTTAATGGAGCGGTGGTAAGTGTGATTGTAAGCCTTAACTACATCAGACAACAGCCCATCCACATAATTGTAATTTCCAGTGTGAGTGAACCGTTTAAACAGTTTTGACTTGATGGTGCGCTGCCAGCGCTCCACCACGGAACATTTAATGTCGGGATTATGTGTGTGAATGTACAAAATGTCATTTTCTTTCAGAAAATTTTGAAATACTTTGTTCATGTATTCTTTTCCCTTATCAGAAAACAAACGCGTGGGTCTGCGCTTAGTGCCTTTAAAAATAGATTCAAACCCTTTCACAATGGACGGCCCTGTCTTATCTTTGAGAGGGACAGCCCAGCCATACTTTGAAAAAACATCTATGACGCACAAAATAAACGTGAAGCCGTTGTTATCTTTTTTAATGGACTGAAAATCCGATAAATCAGTTTGCCAACTTTCATCGATATTATCAGCATAAGTCACGTTACGGGGAAACCGACGCCGTGCAGGCTTGTGTAGTGTGTAGGCGTCTTCGCCCTGCAAAAACTTTGTGTTTTTTTCTTTTTTCTCGCCTGTGGCGTTCCACAATTTCCACGCAGTCCCATATGAGGCGGGGTGGGCGGGGTCGTGATACACTTCACCAAGTTTTCCAGGCATTGTTTTTAGATGGTTTTTTAGTTCTAGCGTGTTTTTTAACACCTCGTGTTTTCTTTGGTGTGACCTTATCAATTATAGTGACAGAACTTTTGTTTACAACAGGTCTAATACCAGAACCACTTTGATTACGAGCCGAAATAATTTCAGCTCTACGAATGGAGTTCGGTATGAGTTCGAGTGGAATATTGATAGCAGAAAGTGCTTTGATAAAAGGAGAAACCCCTACAGGTTCAAAATTTTTACGA